AGTTAACTCATGTTGTGGACAACTAGCACATAACTTTTTAAATCTCTCCTAGTAGTCATAGAGTGATTCTCCTTCTAGTTGCTTGATTCCAAGTATTCTTCTTCATAACTTACTTGCTTTCACCTCAGGGAAAAACCTGTCAAGAAAAAGATGAGTCATTTGATCCCATTTAGTAATAGAATTTGAGGGTAAATAAAAGAACCATTACTTGGCCGAATCGGCTAAGGAAAAATGAAAAGCTTTAAGATTGATTTGGTTCTTAGTTACTCCCTATGGTTTCATGCTGGAGCAGACCATGTGAAATTCTGTGAGATGTTTATGTGGATTCTCGTTCAGTAATCCGTGGAAGGTAGGGAGGAGATGAATAAGGCCAGTTTTTAACTGGTATGGAGTTTCTCCTTGAGGAAAATCAATGCACAAAGTTTCCTATTCAATATGAGCTGCGGCAAACTCTTTAATAGTGGGATCTACCATCGGATTTGGTACTGTATTATTGGATTCACCTAAATTTGATTCTAAATCTAATTGTTGTCTCCTTATTTCTCGAAGTGCCTATGCGTGAAGTCTTCCTACTTTGGCTTCGATTTTAGGTTGTACACTAATTCGCTCGGGTTGGTCATAAATCAAAAGCAAACAAAAATTAGTAACTTTGAAAAAGTCCCCGACAACGGTGCCAATTTGACAACTATCATGTTGATGTCAAAATAAATTCCTTCTTCCTAATAGAATATAAGAAATACATAGTAAAAAGAAGTAACGATTGATCCTTAGGGACTTAGAAAAATTCCCAAATTTTTATTTGAATTGCTTAAACCAGGCGATATGTAGTAAAGAGAATAGGGGGTTTTGAATTAAAATAATTGTATCAGTAAAAATAATTTAAAGCAAAAATTAAGAAAATAAACAAAGATTTGAAAAATAATTATAGTAAAAAGCAGCCTCAGACCTCGTTTTGACTCAATTTGTTTCTGATCATCGAAATTGGATTTTTACTTCGGTATTCATGTCGGTTACAGTCTACAAGGCATTATCCATGTAACTTGCTTTACACTTTGGTAACCGATTTTCACAAAGCCAATCTTTGGAAATCCATCTTTTAATTGAACTAACTACGACAATCTTCGTTATTGCAAAAATAATTTTAGTTTAGGAAAAGCCCGACTCGGATTATGTTGTCTCTCTGATAATTGAAATTCGATCTCAGATTACCTTAGCAGACCGCCGCTAACTGTGTTCATAGGAAGTCAGATATGTTATTCATCAATCTTTCCTCCCAACTTTAAATCTTCAGAAAACTGAGAGTGACATCCTAAAGATGTTAGGTGTTTTTAATTCTCACATATTGAATTGAGTCATCGTTTAGCCTTTTGGCCTATAAGAAAATTAGCTAGGCATGATAAAAGTCATACTTAGCATGTTTAAAAATAAAACTTAAAATAAAATAAAAACAAAAACTTAAATAAAGAAAAGAAGATCTTTATAAAACATAAACAAGAACAAGAATGAAATCTGAATTTTATGTTTAGTCTTACCCTAAGAGGGTACTTATAGCTTCTAAAATCCTAGATATAAATATAGAAATTAAAAGAAAAATAATCCTAAAGATAATTCTAAATGTTTTTCAAATTCAAACTTTAAATTTCCTAAGATATCTCTGCCCGTCCAACTTCCAGAAGGTGCTGACTAGATCTTCTAGAAAACTGCTGCTGACTGGACCTTCTAAAAACTGTCAAGTAAAACTGTGTCATGGCCAGAGTCATGCCCATGTCTCTAGCCATGACCAAATAATAAAAAAATTGCAGAATGCACCCTTTTTACTTCTAATTCTAGAAAATAAGATCATGCACGAAAATAAGCACAATATAACCAAATCAGCAGTAATAAATCCATAAGATCAAAGAATTAACGATAAAATATTATCAATTTAAACACTCATTGATCTTTTATTTTGAATTCAAATAAAGACAATGTAAAGATTTAGATATGAATTCTTTTTAACCTAGCCATTGATTAGATTCAACTTCACCCGTTGGATGTAGGGAATTTTCACTATAAATAGAGGCTTACTCCCACCTTATTTTTCACTCAGAGTTGAGAATAAAAACTAAGTTCACTTTCTCTAGTTCTTTTGTGAGACATTTTTTCTTTCGAAGTTCTGTTAGCTTTCACTCTTTTGTCTAAGTGATTTTACTTAGATTGTTTAGGTTAACTTAGTCATTTTCACTCAGAAAAACGTCCAAGGCCGCGTGGTTTCTAGTTTAGGATTATAAGGACGCGACAATATGTATTATTAATCGACCCAGTTGAAATTTATAGGAATGTAATGCTATTGCGACTCTTTCAGTCTTTTTGTCCTTTTTTATTTGATTATTAATAATTAATTAATGACTTAATTATAAAATAAGTGCCTAAACTATAGTGTTCTTCATGAATATGTATCTAAATTATTTTTTGAATGATCTTGGTGCCTAACGTTACAAACGTTACCACTTTAGGTGCCCAGGTCGTAAATGACGTTAATTTTTTTTATTAAGTGACACGTGTCACCCTCAGGTAATTTTTGAAAATTTTATTCTTTAAAAAACTTTAAAAATATTTTTAAAAGCCCAAAGTTTAAAAAAAAATCTTAAAAATCTTCCCTAAACTTTGAAAACCCTAAATCTAGTCCTTATACCCACGCCCTTCATCGCACGCCACCGCCGTTGCCGTCAATTGGACTTCCACCTGGTGCGCCTCCACCAAAGACCAACTATGCGGCGAACAACTGCCATAACAGCAACCGAAGACCCCTAAAATCGTGACAAACTCTACTCCTCTACCTCGACGAAATGGTGACGAACGTGACGAAACGATGACCATCGTGACTCCACAGCATCGTCTGACTACGTAGATGACAAGGAAGGTGTCGGAGATGGTGGTCATTGTCGTGGCTGGAAATGGAGGAGGAGTTAGGGTTAGGATTTAGGGATTTCAGGAATTTTGGAGCTTTTTCGTAATTTCAGGAAAAATAAGGCTTTTATAAATATAATAACTTTTTATTTTTTATTTTTAAAATTATTTCAAAATTACTTGAGTGTGACACATGTCTATAAATGAAATTTTTTAATGTTCGTTACCTTCCAGGAACCTAAAGTGATGACGTTTGGCATCAGGATCATTCAAAAATAGTTTAGGCACCTATTCGTGAAAAATTCTATAGTTTGGGCACTTATTTTATAATTAAGCATTAATTAATTAGCTAATTAAAAATTAAATATTATAAAATTTCATTATTAAAACAATTATTCTAATTAGTTGTAGGTTTAATACACTTTTAAGTGCCTACACTATACTCTAAATTGACTTTTGGTGTCTAAGTAATTTTTCGCTAAAAACAACTTCCTAAAGTTTTCAACGTTACACTTTTAGGTGCATGTACCATAACGGCAAATAAATTTGATCGTTATCTGACACATGTTAGACACATAAATTTTCAAAAAAATATTTTAAAAAAACTTAAAATTATTAATTTTATAAAATCAACAATATTTTTTGAAATTATAAGAAATCCAAAATTCTGGAAAACCCTAATTTCAATCCCATGATTCAATCGACGATTACCACATAAAATGGATGATTGCAATGATCAGAGATAGAGATGACAACGCGACTTCTAAAAGCGTTCTGGCGAACAATGAATGACGTGGGTGAAAGACGATGGTCAGGGTTTGGTCGCGAGATGATGGTGAACTCGGGGGTGATGGGGGTGCACGCCACGAACACTGGTGAAGGGTGGTCGACGAACGACGCTGGGGAGGGAGGTCACGATGCGAGGGTTGAAGGTTTGATTTTTTTTATTCTTTATTTTTAAAAAATAATATTTCTATTATTACAAAATAAAAAAATAAAAAAATAACAATAAGAATCTAAAAGTGTAACGGAGAAAATTTTAGGCATCTATTTTTAACAAAAAAAATTTTAGGCACCGAAAGTTAATTTAAAGTATAATTTAGACACTTAAAAATTTATCAAACCTTAAATTTAAGTTTATAATATTTAATTTTAAACAAATTAATATCTCATTCAATTAATCTAATCATCATTGATATGATATTTCAAAAAAAAAATATCATTGATATGAACTCATCAAACACTTTTAATAATTAAAAAATATCATTCTCGCTAAAAGTTCTATTTCAAGTAATGTCTACAAAATATATGAATATTTATTATCGATTAACTTTTTAAACAAATATTATATTATAATTATTTGAGATTAATAAAAAAAATACATCATTGGCCTATTTTTTTTTAGATGAAGGGCCTTCTAGTTTGTTGTTCGCATGCGAAAGAGACATTCATTTGATGTCAGTTCAATTATTGGTCCTTGAGGTGTCAATTAGCTTGCTCAGGTGGATCATTAGTTAAAAATAACAATAATACTAGTAGGGATGGACACAATATTTATAATAGGGTATTAACTTCTAAAATTTTAGAAATAAAAAACTTATAAAGATGAAAATAAGATTTTAATAAAAAATACATTAAAAATCTTTAATAATTTTAAATTTTTAGGAGACGTTTTATATTCATCTTTGAATACTAGTAACACTTAGTGTTGCTAGAACGATAATAGTTTTAAAGTATAACCATCTGTGTAGGTCACAGTCTTAGTTAATATTAGGGATAAAACAACTAGTTTTTTTTTTGTCCATGACACATTCTTAAAATATTGCATCATAAATAAATTAAAAGGATCGAATAGAAGTATTTTGAAATTCTAGTACTAAAAGTTTGTTTAAACCCAGCAGAGAACTCACTTCTTTTAAAACAAAATAACTTGTACCTGGCCTTGGCTAATTCCGAACAAAGAAACCCCACAGAATAAAACCATTTTATTTATAAAGAGCTCTAGGGTTATACTACTGTATTTATATAATGCGTGTATTTGTTGTTAATTAACTAAAATATTCTAAATAAATATTATTTTGCATTTATTTTATATTAATTAAAAGCTTCGATGCAAACTAAAAATTATGATTAATATTTTATTTATATTCGCCATCAAAATTAAGCTTCTCACCATTCACCACACAAGTTCAACGGGAGTGTAATGCAACCCTGGCAATCTGTCCAGCAGATCAAAGGTCAGCATGGACGCCTTGGGTTTTTGTGGCCGCGCCTCCAAGTGTTCCACCGGTAAAGGCGCCGCCGTCGTTCTCTGGTATGTTCCAAGCCACTTGGCTTCCATGTACTTCTGCTTTCTCCAGGGAGCCAGGTGCATCTTCTTCTCCTTCATGCATTTTTTGGCAGCGGCGCATAAGATCTTGATCAAGGCGTTTACCCTCTCCGTTTTGCCGACCAAGAGTTCCGGTAGCCGTGCGATCAACGTGTTGTAATCGTCGTTGGCCCTCGCCATTTCGAATTCAGCTCGGAAATTTAACTCCATCACCACCCTTACCTCGCCCTTTATGGGATTCGATGATTTATCCAACACTTCCAGATACGTGTGCTCCCCGGAGGGAATTTCAGGGGAGCTCCTCCATTTGGACTTGCATATGTAACAATTGAAACCCGCATTTTGGAGACGAACCGAGAGTTCCCTTTGCAGACAGTTCCGGCAACCTCCGACCCGACAACAGCACTGGTCTATCTCACTCAATGCTTGTTTTGTAGCTTGTCGGATTCTTGATTCCAGACAAGTAGTTCGGCGCAATGTTGCCTGCAATCGCAATGCATGAACATCAATCACCGGATATTTAAATTCACCATTCCAACTAAATGTTTTTTATGTTTACCTGAAGAAGCTGTCGTTGGGCTTCCCAGAAAATCTTGTTCTGTTCGACGGCTTCCTGGTCATCAGCGTTTTCATCACGGTAAACCAAGTCCCCTGAATTTTCTTCTGACTCGTTGCTTCCGTCCAAGATCCCAAACATCATGTCGGCGAAACTAGCTGCTCCGTCAAGAAACTTGTCGATTTCCTCCGAATTTTGTCGTGTCACACTCACGGCCATCTTTTCCATTTCTCCGGCCACCAGGGGTTTCCTTTCCTAGATAGGAATATCAAAATTGTTACGAAATTTATAGCAACTAGCACGGCGTGTTGTGTCCTACGTGGGACCCAAACGTCATAGGTGGATGAACAAACCGCCCTAGTCAGACAACGTGGCAACTGATTATCGGATGATGAGTAAATATATTAAAGCCTTCCAACTCGGAGATTACACGTAAATACGTTTAAATTTATAGTTTTTCAATTGATATAACAATATTAATTTAATTAAAATTTATTTTTATAAAGATAATAGAAAAATATTATTCAAGATTGGATATAAAATTTAATGTTAATTAAAATAAAGTTATTTTTAGTAGAGTGGTCGATCAAAAATTCAATCCATTATAATGTACTTTTATATGATAATTAAATAAAAATAATAATTTAATTAATGTTTATAAACAATTGAACTTAAATATTATTCGATAATTTTTTGACATATGCATTACACTTAAATTATTATTTTTAGTGAACCTATTGAATGATATCAGAGTAAAAAAGAATGTTATATTTTTTAGAGCATCCGAATTTAGTATGTGATTAAAAATTCTGAATATATATTATTTTATATTTTTCTCGGATTATTTTAAAAATATTGTTTTAATATATGTATAATTTTTTTCATTAGTTTAACTCTTATAATGTCATATCTTACCATATTATTATTATTATTATTATTATTATTATTATTATTATTTTATTGAAAATTGATGTTTTTTAAAATTTTCATGACGATTTATGTTATGTCATGCAGTAATTTTTAATAAAAATATAACAATTAAATAATAATAATAATATAAAGATGAAACTGATAAAGAATATATACATATTAAATTGATAATTAATAATAATATAGAGCGAAACATGTAGGAAGCATAAAAAAATAGAATAGAGTTTGAGAGAAGCTTACAAAAAGCATGAAGCTAGGAGAATGATTATTTCGGTATAGACAGCTACGATCCACGTCAGATTATCCAATAAACGGAGAGCAGTGTGGATATAGTATTTTTAGTTTTTTTTTAATTTCTAATTAAAAGAATGATATTGCTGTTCCCTTAATGATTAGGGTTTAACTAAATCAATGATTAGGGGTGAAATCAAGAATCGACGCAGACGCGGCCTGGAAAGCTTATCTACTTTGCGTTGGACAGAATAATCCAGTTTCTAAGTTATGCTTGGGACGGAAATACCCTCATTTCTCTATGTATGAAAGTGAGAAAAACTCGACTCGGTTCGAAAAATCGAATTTTTTAACTCAATTCGACTCGAATTGAGTTCGAGTTACAATTTCATAAACTCGACTTGACTCGAAAAAATTTCAAATTCAAATCTAGTTGTAAAATGCAATTAAAAATTTTTGGTAATTTGTGGATTTATTTTCAAGTTTTACTCGAGTACTTGGACTTTATATGATATATGTATATTACATATGAAAAAGATGAAGAAATATATTTGTATTGTATATATGGTTATAGAAAGTCATCTTAAATTGGAAACAAATAATACTATAATATTATAAATATTTACAATTAAATTTAAATAAAAACTCAAAAAAATTGTCTTGACTTGACTCGAAAAAATTTCAAATCAAGTCCGAGTTGTAAAATAAGACTCGTCAGCTCGAATAACTCGAAATTTTTTTATTCGACTCGATCGAACGCTCACCCCAATGTATCAAGCTATTTTTAAAACTCAAACTTTTAAGATTTTTTTTGAAAATTTTCATTTTTAATTCTAGTTATTTAATGAACCTTATTTAAAATAATTTCTAAAAAATTGATTTTCGTAAATTGATTTTTAATATTTTTGGATTTTTTAAAATTTTATTTATTTTTATTACACAAAAAATTCTGTTGGATCGAGTAGTAATTTTCAATAAAAATATAAAAATTAAATAATAACGTGAAGATGAAAATGATACATATTAAGCTGATCATTATATAATGATATAGGGAGAAACATGTAACAAACCTAAAGATTTTGGATAGAGTTTGGGAAATGTTTATAAAAGGCATGAAGCTCATTGTTTATTATTATCTATGGGTAGACAGCTAAGATCCACGTCGGAATAACGAATTAAAGGAGAGCAGGGTGTATATAGTATTATTAGCTTTTTTGTTTTCTAATTTAAAGAATGTCTGATGGATGTTCTTTATAATGATTAGGGCGGAAATCAAGAATCGATGCAGTAGGGGTCTGTCTTATGGACCTCATCTACCCTATTCTTTTCCGACACCTCGTTCCTAGAATAACACCTGCTTTAGGTTCCTAAATCCTAAACTATGTTTGAATATGACCAAATATATATAAATTTGTATCACAAATAAATACATAAAGTATATCAATTTTTTCTTTTAAATATTTAAAGTATTTTTTAATCAAAACGGGCATTTAAAGTTTTAATCTGTGAATATTTTAAATGTAAAAGTAACTTCAGCTTAAAATATATATATGAGCCAATAAGAAAGTGACAAATGACATGTTATATACTTATTTACATAAAAATTAAAAAATAAATTAAATGTAAAAAAACACAACCCACGCTCGATTAAAACAAGAAAAAAAAAACATTCGACGAATACATGTCTTTATGGTATGAAGATGGAAATTGAATTCTTATTAACTTCATAGAGCAATGAAGATGATCTTGTTACAATATAACAATCCGAGACAAAAATTAAAATAAAATATAAATTTTATTAATAATGGAAGAGATACAATTTAGAATAAAGATGCCAAATAAAAAACTTGAAACGAGTTGAGATCTGCAACTACACAGTTTCCTTAAAACAAATTTTCAGCCACTCCTTGGTGCATGAGATGTTTTGGTCATCTGTCTCCCAGGATGCAACAACGATATGATCAGCGCACATAAGCACGAATTGTGAGATCACGAACCAAATCTTGCTAGACTCTATCACCAAAAACAAGAGAAGAGGAAAAGAATTTTTGAGCTGTGTAGAACCTAATAGGTTTACATGGTATTTATAGTGTTTCACATAGGAGAAGAATTGGAAGTAATATATTTCGAAAAGTAGGGCTATTAATTAGTATCCAAATAAAATCAGAAATAATAAATTAATAATGCTTTAATTAGAATATATTCGTGAATTACAAGTCATACCATATTGATATTTAAATTAAAAAGAAATCATATAATATCATTTTTAATTCAAAATATTCAAAAAGATATACCGCATTTAAGGAAAATATTTAATTCGTAGTAGTAAAATATCCGTAGGCCCCTAAAGGGTCATCCGATCCCACATCATGCGGGTACGACCCCAACCCCAATGGATTCGATGGGCTTCAATTTGCACGCCTAAACCTATGCATGAGGCATAATTTCAACCCAAGTCATTCAGTGACTAGCAAATTGGTTTGTGTATATAAATCATTTCCTTCCTTGATATCCCACAAATGTGGGATATGGGTTTTCTCATTTTCCTTACACAATACAATGCACATGTACCTTACTTTGAGCATCAATTTCTCATTCATCACACAACCGTTTTGAGTATATGAGATACTGTTGTAAAGATCTCATGGAGTAAAATATGAATCAGTAAATTCATTATTCGATTATTCATCTTTACACTTAGAAAATATGCCTCAAAGTTCCCAATTTATCACATTTTTTCAACAAACCCTCACATGAATGAAATGATGATTTTATCAAAACATTTTGACTTGATGCGGTGATAGACCCTACGAAACGATAGTTGTATAGGATATGTAGGTGACCTCATTTGAACCTTCCATTGTAACAGTATATTTATTTTACTAGCTAATTAGTAAACGTGATGTCCTCGAACTATTATTTCATTTGTGAAAATGATGATATACTTCACACAACTGTCTTTCTAACAAGTATATTAGTTCTCATGGGTATGTCCTTATAGCCGCGAATTTAACATATCTTTGGTACGTTTTACCATTTTATTGTTACTTCCAACAATGAGTATATCATCAACATATAAATATAGAATCACATATCTTATGTTTGTATTTTTAACATATGCACAGTTGTCACACTCATTTATCTTGAATTCATGTGTCATCATGACATTATCGAACTTCTCATGCCATTATTTTGGTGATTGTTTAAGTCCATATAAAGACTTTACCAATCTACATGTTTTCCTTTCTTGCCCTGAAACTACATGACCCTCATATCAAATTATTACTCCAAGTCTTCAAGATCAATTTCAAACCTTACTAAATGTGTAAAATTGTGTTTTATACTTATTGAAACAATTTTCACAAAGTATTTTGAACCAAAATCAAGCCTAAAATCAATTTTTCAAAGTGATGCACCGATGCACCAATCCATGCATCGATGCACCATGGAATAAATTGAACATCGAATGTATTTCATGCATCGATGCACATATTATGCATTGATACACATACTATGCATTGATGCACTCAGAGTTTTATGAAAACATCGAATGCATTTGATGCATCGATGCACCAGCCATGCATCGATGCACTCTGGCTATTTTTGAAACATCGAATGCATTTCATGCATCGCTGCACTCTTAGTGCACCGATGCACTAAGGGTCCAACGGTCAAAATATTTGAATTTTACACTTGATGCACCGATGCACCTTGGGTATGCATCGATGCACTGACGCTCCCAACTGATTTTATTAATTGTTTTCACACTTAAACGGCTCTATTGCTCCGTTAATCATCCCGAACGTTCAGAATCATTTAAAGGTGTATTTAAACAAGATCAGAAGCCATTGATCAATAACAAGAAAACACAAGAAACAAGAATCAAGAGAGAATGGAAGAGAAAGCATCAAACCTCAAGTTTGAGCATTTCAAGCTTATTCTTCATTCAATATTTATTTTGCTTTCAAGAACACTACTTGTTCTCAATTGTATTTATTTTTTAGTGTTCTTCTCTCTGTTCTAGAATTGTGCAAACAATCTAACTTGTGAGGATTTCTTTTTAAGTTTGTAAATTTGTAATCTTCTCTTTGAGAAAGAGTGTTCTCAAG